TAAGTCTGATGTCGAAATTTTGCACGACGCGGCATTTTGCGCAAGGCTGTTTGTGTTCGCTTTCATGCATCTATCAAAGCGCATCACACCCCTCCCCTTCTATTACCACACTCATCTGCAACGTGGATGACATCATGCTACTTGCAAAGCAAGCCTACCTCAAGTCACGCGAAGTGTAGACGTGTACGCTGCTCAACGATATGTTCCGAACAAACCCACCCCAAGCATGCAGCTGGTGCGTGCACATCGACCAGCGATATGGTCTAAACAAAGTCATCGATTTTCATGATCAGTGCTTTGTGGTTGTGGAACCTTTGTTTGGGCCACTCTTTTTTCACCCTTACGTGGGTGCATGGAGAAAAGCGTTGTTCCAAGAAACCGAAAAAAGAACTGCAGCTTTCGAACGATTTATTAAAACATCATTAATGAAGAATGCAAAGGCAAGACACCATGGCGGCGGAGAAGTCACGAAGGCATCAGGCGAAAGTGCGGGAGCGTCTCCCACCAGAGCGAGCAGCTGGGCATAGCACAGCACAGCAGGTCAGTCAGCTGCAGCAGCCGAACAGACCGCCCGGTGAGACCGACAGTCGGTAGGACTCCGCCGGGGGCACGGCCAGCGGGGTCGGGTTCCGCCGAGGTCACGGCCGGCCGGGTCGGGCTTCGCCGGGAGCACGGCCAGCCAGGTCGGGCTTCGCCGGGATCGCGGCCAGCCTGGTCGGGCCCCGCCAGGATCACGGCCAGCCTGGTCGTGCTCCGCCGGGAGCACGGCTAGCCTGGTCGGGCCCCGCCAGGACCACGGCCAGCCAGGTCGTGCTCCGCCGGGAGCACGGCCAGCCCTGGTCGCCAGGCGGCCGCCGCGGGTAGCCGCTGGGCATGGCGCGAAGCAGGGCGGCACGGGACGGGATTCAGCCGGACCAAATGGTGGAAACCTTCTGGACCGAGGCTCTGTTGCCCACAGGTGCGCACGGAGGTGCACGTAAGGATTAAAGTGAGTGGAGGGAATGGAACAGAACCCGAAGGGTAAACTCGCACGCGCTTGCTCGCACTATCACGCGCTGACACACACATCACCAATCAGGATCGGCGGCCGCGAGCCCGGCCGCCCCTCGTCGTTACCATGGAAGTATGTGGTTTGCAGCAGTGCGTTATGCATGGAAAACGACAAAGGTGGAAGTGGGGGAGAGGGAGAAAAACAGCACGGATGCCAACAGAATACGGAACCGTATCACAGTCGGCCACCGAGCGACACAGGCGCTGGTAAACAAAACACGCGCGCAGGCGAGGTCAGAGCGGCAGCGGACACTTGAGCTTCGCAGGCGCGCGGGCGGACAGAGAGGCAGCGAGATCCCGCCGTCGCGCCGGTCCCGGCCGGCCCGCCACAGAGCGACACGCAGCCGAGGAGCGTCCTCAGCGCCGCTCAACACACGCTGCATGAGAGGCGGGCCCGACTCAGCCCCGGCTCGAGGCGCGCCTACCGCTTGGGCTTCGCCAGTCCGCGCCGGACTCCTCGAGGCACGAGACCCGACCGATGGGCGAGCTGTCCGCGGCCGTTTTCAGCCCGCCAATCGGAAATTGCATCGCATGATAGCTGTGCGCATGTGGTGTCCGGGCTCTGCGATTCAAGCCCCTCTGAACGCAAAATATCACGTGAACATAAGCAGTTCGACTGCGCCTAAGCTAAGTCGAACGGAGCCAATCTTCGTCCAAGTCGTTGGCAGAGGCAGCTTGACGAGATATACCGAGCGCAGCGCTTCGCCCGCCACCTAGTGGGGGTTCCAGGAAACATTGTTTAGTCCGTGAAATGACCGCTTGAGGGCGCCGCTGTCGGCCCACGGAGAGTTGAGATGGGTGTCGTCCATATCACGCTCTAGCCGCTGAAAGCGAGACAAAATCACTTTAGACTAGACGCAATAAAACTCAGAGCGCACATTTTCGCCGGATGTTGTCACAAACAATACAATCGACAAACCATGACAAGGTGTCAACAGACATGCACAGCGAACTTCATCCCCAAAACAAACTACCACACCAGGGGCAGATGGTAGGGTGGGGGCGGTCAGGCACGGTCAAGCAGGCCTGGTGAGCACGGCAAGGACAATGCACCAGCGCCGAGCATCCTCGGCACCACGCCGCGCAGTCCCGACTCGCACAACACCGATGACCCACAACAGAGGGCCGGGCGTCGCCGCCGCTCGAGTGCTGCATGCCACAGACCGGCCACGGCCACCGACGGTGGTCCGCGGCCGAGCGGGCGGCAGGCGCGGCTGCAGATCCCTCCCGCCTGGTCGCCGGCGCTGTCATCCGGCCGGCCGGTGGGCCAGGGTGCGGCTCGCCCCCGGACCGGCGGCCGGCGGTGGCCACCGGTCCGGCCGGTCAATACACGACAGACGGGTGCAGACACGCACAGTCACGACACGGAGAGACGGAGAGCCGGCGCGGGCGGCGCCGGACGTCGGACGCCGGCCGGCCGGCGGACTTGCCTGGAGCCGGCCGCAGCTCGGCCGGCGCTACGTCTCCACAGGAGAGATGGTGCTGTTGGCGCTGCAACCGACAGACAAACAGCTGCCGTCACCGTGCAACCGGTGCCCGGGCAGCGCGCCGCGCGCTGCGCGCCGCCAGGCCGCTCACAACAAGCAACAGGAGACCAGCGCCCCGCCCCGCGGGCACCACACAGGACCGGTGCCCGGGCAGCGCGCCGCGCGCCGCGCGCCGCCAGGCCGCTCACAGCACGCAACAGGGGACCAGCGCCCCGCCCAGCAGGCACCACACGGGACAGGCGGCTCGGATCAGGCACTACGCGGCGCCGGGGCCCTTCACGGCAAACACCGAGCACACCAGAGCCATCCGAGGAGGCACGACAGGGGATCGGGATCCGTAGAGCAGGCGAGACGAAGAGATCGGCTTCTCAACAAAGCGGTCCTCCACGGGGCCACGGCCTTCAGAGCACTACGCACGATCAGAAATTGTCCCGGCACCAACCGAATCCTGGCCCGGCAGCGGTCACTGGTCGCTGCCAGAACCGACAGCGCTCGCCGCACGGTACTCGCGGTCCACCACTTGTCACTGCATGGGACCGCAGCAACGCATCAGTTCCCAGGAATAGATAATCGTCAGCAGCAGCCGCCGCCCGCGCACGTGATCCGCCACGAGAGCGCAGCAGGAGGGCGACGCTGGCCGTGTTTCTGGTTTCCAGGACTAGCCAGGGGTGATTTACGGGGACTATAAGTCCCCTGCCCGGCCAGAGTGTCGCGTCTGGCCCAGATTACTGCGAACGCCACAGACGCTAGCTC